CTATGATTCTGGGGTAAATATGTTCTATTTTTAGTTCATTTATAAAAACGTGTTATATTAGATAGAAAGTTCTAGGTATTATTTGTTTTTTTTTTCCTCATGCGGCCGTACTGACTAGTATTGAAATTAGTAGAACCGCGTTCACTTGCGGTAGTTCTGCTGACCGACGAAACTGGTTGTGTTTGTACAAAGGTGTATTTAACAAGGTGGTGTTGACCGCATATAGGTAAAAAATTACACTAACAAATTATACGCAGATACCCGTACTGTCATTGATAAGAGTTACAACAAACACATCATTTTGACGTAATGCCCTCCACAGCGAAAAACTCAGCTGTCGCACCAGCACTGCCTTGTTGAATACACCTCGGTTTGTACACAAGTGAAAGTACAGCGAAATATCCGCCTGCCGAAAAAATGCACGTCAGCGATTCGCGTAACCTAGAGTAGGGATGCACACAGTCGACGTCGCGGGCAAACTGCGCGCACGCGAGCGTGCTTGGCCTGGTGAAGTGACCCTCCAGTACTGCTGGAGTCAATCGCTACTTTTGAACCGCTACTAGGGATGCACGCAGTCGACGTCGCGGGCAAACAGCGCGCACGCGAGCGTGCTTGGCCTGGTGAAGTGACCCTCCAGTACTGCTGGAGTCAATCGCTACTTTTGAACCGCTACTGCACCGACCCTAGGTAAGTAGCTACTCTATTAACCCGTGGTAGTGCACATGGTAGTGCAGAGTCGAACCAGTCGTAAGTAGAATAGCGAAAAACTACGACAGAGGGCGCGCATAAATCACGCAAGCGACTACTTTAGTAACTCCCGGTAGTGCAGAGAGAGCCGATGGTGACTACCGCCTAGGACATTGCCTTGTAAAAGTAATCGATGAATTACACTGCAAGTAGTCGGTCGGTAATTGACGGTGTTTATCAGGTAGCTACCGATTCAGCAGTCCTGTAGTCGCTCCCCCGTACTGCAGGGGAGCTGTACGGAGATGGCATCGTATACATATTAATCACTACACACTTATTTTCAAGTAAATATGGGTGTATGTATGTGCACTTTTGCGACAACTGAGCCAGTGTGGCATCAGGCCACCAGAAAAATCCAATTTTTCCAAACCAAAAGTGCCAAGTTTTTATTATCATGTTTAATAATTTTTTTGATTCAGTAAAAAGTGTATATACATATCCATTTCCTCACGTTTTTATAAATAAATTAATTTCAATACATTTATAACAACACAAAACATATTTAATTTACCTATTCCTCACATTTTATTCAGTAAATGAATTCCATCTTAATGTAGAATATTAGTGTATAGTGTATACATACATGCATATGTACCTATGCATTCGGTGTGCTTAAATTAAAAAAGCATCACTAAATACCGCACCAAGCATTGAATTCCAATTATTTTGGCTTTTTGGTTTCGCAAATTTAGTTCAAAATGCACGACCTTGGCAACAGTGACCTGAGCACATCAATGCTTAAACAGTGATGCCAGACCAAGTATTGAGTAAATGCGCTATGTATATTTTTCTTTTAAAGCAAAAGTTCTAATTGGCGAGGGTATTGATTTTTGGTTCTTACATAGAACACTGATAAGATTCACAAACTTATCTTAGGACTTAATTAAAATAATCAGCATTGTTTGTAGACGTATATATTTGTGTTCGTAAGAAATAGTAGCTTATGTCGGGAGGCTGGCTTTAGTAAAATGTACCATTTCCTATATTCTTTAAACCACAAGGAATTTTTTTTATGAAACTTTATACGAATATTGACTTGCTAGCATCGCCATTAACATCACCGTCTTTTACGTGTATTTTCCAACAGTTATTTAACGACTCGGCGCCAGTGAGTCTTTCGCAATCGTATGCTGCGAATGGCTCATTATACTAAAGCCAGTCTTCCGACATAAGCTACTATTCTATATAAACACAGATATGTATACTTCCTAATAGGCTTGTAAAATGCCCAATACCCAAATCCCTCGCATGAGTTATTATCGGTAAAAAATTGGGTACGCCAAATCTGGCATCGCTGCAGCAAGTACATCGCCAGTGAAACAGTGTTGATATTTTAAGTACAATTGTACCTTTTTCTGTACATTTAATTTTAAAATGAACTAAAGTACAATTTGCGGATTTTAAGTACAATTTCAACATCAAAAATACTTTTTGTACCAAACGCTCAAATCTCTTCTAGCACTTTGATTCTTAATCCGTTTACATTTAAGTAAATGGATATACCTATATTTCATATTTGCTACAAAACGAAATTATGAATTGTAATTTTGAATGTAAACGTGATTGTGAACAGTAATATTAGTGATGTGCGTTATGGTGATTGCGATTTCTTATCACCGGCGGGCGAAATATCCCTCATCGCTATTTATTTTGAAAAAATCTTTGGAAATGCAATTTACCTAATGGCGATCCTGCAGAAATAGAAGTAATTGAGCAGTTCGGGGGTTGAAAGTAAAAAAATTTATGTAAATTCCATGCGTTGAAATTATAAATTTCCCTTGAGGATTTCCATTTTATCGATAGTGATCTCATTTTATGTTCATTAATATGAACTGACCTATATAGTGTATTAATGTTTTATCATCATTGTCTTCATCTTTGACAAAATTACACGGTCACCCGGCATTTATTTTATTTTTTTAAATAATTTTAACTATTTTTTTATTAAATTGTAGCTCATTATCAAAGAAAAACCTTGCAAATAAATCGAAACTTGAAAAAATGAAAAAATAAACAAAGTTTCATCAAATTTTCACAGTTTTTGTTCAGAATTTGTAGACATGTTTTGGGTTAACATTTTTGTAGCCCATTCATTCTAGTATAATAAGGTGCAAGTTTGAAGAGTCTAGAAAATACCATTGATTTTTTGAATTTTTCTGTTTTCGGTGTTGCGCACTTCCTTCCATATAACGAAAGTTCGCATTTTATGTTATATGGATGAATGCGCGTGTAGCGTTGTTGTTTTCTATTGCAATATTTTAAATTAAGCTTTATTTTATAGTTTTTCTTACGACAATGATAAATGATGTATACAAATTTCAGTATGGAAAAAAATGCAACACCTTCAACGAAAAAAGTTATAAAAAATCTATGCGAATTGAATCTACTATCTCGATAATTTAAACATCTCGGACTCGCCCACCACTAAAAATGATTATTTAAATCTAAAGTATATATTAAATGATATTTAATATTTGCTTTAGAGATGAAATTTCGACAAATTTGTTTAAGCAAAAATGTTAAGCGCATATGCAGAATGTGGAAGCGAGATTCCTCTGCTTGTGTTTCTATGTTTATATCATTTACCAGTTTAAGCACATACGATTAAATGTAAAAAAAAAAATATTTTTAATTGCGGATCCGAAAGAAATATTTATTAGTTGCATTGAGTCACGCAAAAATAGTGCCGAAAATCGATCGATTGTGCTGAAGGTGCCGGCTGCTTCCGAAAGGGCCGAAAATGGCACAATGCACACTCATTTTCCATCACTGTCACACATACAATCTCACTATTCTGTTGACTTCGTTTTCCCCTTCCGAAAACTTTTTGCTTCCGCGCTTGCCCATCACCGCTGTGCAAAGCTTTGCACGCGCAGTCGCCCGCGACACATATGTGCTTATTTGGGCATCCCTAACCTAGAGGATAATCCACAGCTTATTAAAAAAAAATTACTATTTGCTGGTACTAACAAATATTGATATATCCTTGTGATCAATTTTGGCTATTTTTCTAACAAACGCGGTATAAATCCACATTTCAAACCATGTGCAAAAATTATCAAAAATCTGCAAAGTTCCAGCTAAATTTTCAACAATTTATTCAGATTTTTTAGGGTATACAGTTTGATAGCCCGTTAAATTTTAGGGTAATAACGTGTAAGTTTTAAATCAGGTATGACTTAAAGTTGTGACACACAGTGGCTAGAGGCGTCGCCTGTGTGCATTCTTTCATATATGTGTGTATGTGCCATTCTTACCGCTATATATTTTTTCTCTACTCGTTTATTCCATGGGGTATTCATGCCATTAGGGTGCTGTTTAATGTAAAAAATATAGAAGAAACCTGAAGGAAAAGTGCAAACAAAGTTTTTCAACAACGTTCTAAACAATCTTTCTTCATGTTTATTTGCAAGAAAGTGCACCCAGCAGCCACGGCGTTTTTGGTAAAAATAAACGCTGTTTGGTAAAAATGACACGGCTGTTTCAGATTAATTTTGATGGTATGAATACTTGCATTTTAGTTACTTTTAATTATTGGAAATTGAAAAAAAACGCTTAAAATAGCCAACCTGAGAAAACTGAGAAATTATATACAATCCAGACTTTTAAAAAGCTTGGCTTCATCAATTCCCCAGCCGACTGCCGAACAGTGTAATTCATTTAGTTAATCCGTGTACTTAATATTTCTGAAAATATATTTTTCTTAAAAAGCCTTAAAAGGAAGCAATTTTAACTTTGTGGTACTTTCATCTCCTTTTCGGCACTATTTTTGCAGTCCATTAGGCACAAATTAAAATTTTGAAATTCCATCCCTGGCTGATATAGACATAGATTACATAATACGAGACTCAGCATCCAGCCAATCAGAGCATCAAATGATTTTGTGCTCTAATTTAGCAGCACTAACACACCATGGACAGCTAAGCAAAATGGTGTATTTGGCAAAAGGTCTGAAAAGACTGGTATGTATAGGCTCAATATTCAAATGCATAATCCACCAAGCGATAATTTTATATATTATATTCATTAAAATATAATTAGTCATCAGTCAGATAAAAAAAAATACAAATCAGAAGGATAAAATGGTATTGAGTTATTAATTCAAAAGTAAAAAAATGTATTTCACTGACGAAAGGCGGGATCTAACCCCTTAATTGATAATAGCCTTTTTAATGTTATTCCTAAAATTCGCATTCGCATTCGAATTCGCACATTCGCATTCGCGAATGTGAAAAATATCCATAAATACATACCTGTAATGGTTGTAGTTGGTAGATATGGTCTGGCATCATGATTTAGTAGTTTTCTCTCACGCGAGGTTCGCCAAAAAATTTTGTTTCCCGTAGCTCGTCTTTGTAGTGTGGGTGGTTCTCGATTAGACGTTCCCCGATTTCGCAAAATACTCGAAAACGGAGCTCCGTATTTACTGTTTACACCAATATGAGTAGATTCCAAATTAGGCATTTTAGCAGTTGCTAATAGTGCTTCAGCAATTGATGTATAAAAACTGCGCGCCACGCCAGATCCTTCGCCAGGCTCGTCCTTAAAAGTTACTTTTACACGGTTAAAGGTCAAAGGGGTTTGTGTTCGTCTTGTTTGGCTTCCGAACTGGGCATTTAACTCCTTAAATGTTTGAATGATTAAACTCTCCCGGTTGCGCTCAAGTTTGCATAATATAAGATCGCGCTGTTGGCCGTTCCGTAGTTTTTCCATATGCCTTCGAAAACGCATCTCTTTGACTGGAAATCCACGTAATTCAGGTAGCAATGATCCATATTCCATTCCTACGTCATCCATAAAAACCCTCCCAAAAAGATCCAGCGTTAATTTCCATCGTCCAAGTAAAATATTCCAAGAGGGTGTAACTGAAGAAATTTGTTTGCAGAAATGTATTCCACGAGGTGGAAAAGTATTTGCAGATATATTTGTACGCTTGAAATCGTCTGGCAATGTGAAATGGGTGTTGCTCTTTTCATTTTCCGGTTTCTTGATTATTGAGATCGCACGCACAATAACAGTCCGTGAAGTTGATGTGGGTGAGAGAATCGTTGTGGGGCCAACCATTTCGTCTGTTTTTTGAATTTTATTTGGAGTAATAATAACATCTGGGCGATTGGAATGCGCGGATTTACTAACACTGGCTTCTATTTCGGTTGCGGTAATTTGTTCACCTGTATCCATTTCCTCATCATTTTCCAATCCAGGATTTATTTCTGTTCAAATAAAGTACAATTGTATATATTTAGTAAATCTTAACAAATATTCTAAAACGTGGAGAAGAAGGACTTTAGTTAAGTAAGTGCTGTTCCTTATAACAAAACCCGTATTAATAAAAACAGAAAGGTAATCTCTGTACACTTTGTGTCCATGTGGTAGCTCGACGTGAGCGCAAAGATGCCAAGCAGATTGTTGGAGTGGTTTTCGAGATACACGTTAGGTTGGGTCGATTTTGTATGGGGGAGAATAAAAGGCATTTGACGGTATTGTAATAATAATATTATGTTCTCCTAGGTCTAAGCCAATTGTTATTGGCAACGAGAGATTCAATTTAAAACTCATCTTTAACTTGCGCAATTGATTCAAAGTGTAGGAATTTCGAAAATGAAACTTAGGCTCGTAATATCAATGGAATGCGTTAATTGTTATAAACAGGGCAATATATCAAATTAGAGGTTATTAAATTTAATACTTCGGCAACCAAGTGAAAAATAGAAAAAAGTGAGACGAGATTTAATTCAATCGTTTTTATGTTTTCGGATGTGTATATATAATTGAAGGGACCATGGATTTGGCCACGCCGATTTGGTCAGTTTTCAAAATCGTGGTGAATGAAGTCAGACATGTATTGGCCAAGATAGGAATAATAATGGGTTATAAGTTAATAGTAGTTTCAAGCACATTAGTCTTTACATACAAACAAAATACAATTACGGTAAGAAACGCCCATTTATGCAGTTTTGAAAATTGGAGCAGATTGATTTTATTAGTCACCGAAGTAGCACATTTTTTGCGGTTTCTAAATTTGCCGTTATATTAAAGTATCCCCTAGTTTGCAATACGTGCAATAAGTGTTTATTTATATTTTATCAATGTTATTGTGGCTTATTAACATTTAATTTTAATATTTTTATTGAGCTTTGTACCACGATTATTTTATTAGGAAAAAAGGAAAAAGCAACAAAGTCTAAGCGGTAGAAGTTACAAGCAAAGTTAAAAAAGCAACAAAGTCTAAGCGGTAGAAGTTATAGCAGCTATTTCGGAGATCACCACATCTCCTCATCAGACTTCTTTTTTTCTAGCCTTTCAGCAGAGATCGAACCCGCGTCATCGACGTGCAAAGTCAGAAGCGCTAACCACTTAGCTATGCACACCCCGTTAGCTTTTGTTGCTAATCCATTTCCTTATTCAACCTACTACTATCAAGTGCAGCTGATTCGCCGCTATTAAGGCTTGACAGCGTGGTTGTTATTGTTAATTCCATACATGAAATAGATTCATTGCATAGTTTTTAGGGCAGGCTCATCCCATATATTTATTAGTAAACTTTAATTGTGGCGTATTCATATTTATTTCAATAGTGTTACTGAGTTTTGTACCACGATTTGTTTGTTATGAAAAATGGAAAAAACAACAATACTTAAGCGGTAGAAGTTATAGCAGCTATTTCGGAGATCACCACATTTCCTCTTCAGACTTCTTTTTTTCTAGACTTTCAGCAGGGTTCGAACCCGCGTCATCAATGTGCAAGGTCAGAAGCGCTAACCATTGAGCTTTGCACACCTCGTAAGCTTTTGTTGTTAATCCATTTCCTTATTCAACCTACTACTATCAAGTGCAGCTGATTCGCCGTTATTAAAGCTTGACAGCGTGGTTGTTATTGTTAATTCCATACATGAAATAGATTCATTGCATAGTTTTTAGGGCAGGCTAATCCCATATATTTATTTGTCAATTTTTATTGTGGCGTATTCATATTTATTTCAATAGTGTTAATCACGCATCGTGATCCATGCACGCTCACCGCGCAACGTGTTCACTAGGAAGCGCGTACAGGAGCAACTAACAATTGGCTCATATTTCCGACTTTTAACGTAACCATATATAATAATGATGGCATTTATGGTATTTTGAAGACATTTTTAGGTAAAATTTGTTAACTTGTATGTTGTTTTCTGTTTTTGATTTTTGAGTTGCAGTGTTGTTGGAGGGACTGTTCGGCATAAGGGGCATAGGAACAGCACTTGGCATTAGAGATGGGCACGGGCCTAAATTTTCAGGCCCGGCCTGGCACGAGTGCAAAATCTACTTTCAAAAACACGCACGAGCCCGCACGGTAAGAATTTTAGCCCGGCCCGTGCCCATCTCTACTTGGCATCAAACGTGCCTTTCCCGGTGTATTTGTGAAAAAATGTTTAAAATGTTTAACGTATTTCGCTGCAGCTCTGTCCCACAGCTGCTTTCGCAACGCTGCTTACGCGAGGGACATTCAGGCACGTTAAAAAAATTAGTGGTATCTGCTTTATATTTAACACCACATAAAAAACAACGCTTAAGGTGTTGCACACTAGGTATAAACCGCACAGCACTACAAAAATTCAAATGTTAATTAAAATTTGTTATTAACGGACATTAAAAAAAAATAACGATATGACTTTGAAAGCGTACCGAAATATAGGAAATAAAAGAAAAACAAGTTGAAGTTTAAAGGTTTGGTTCTCATGAGAGCAACGTCATTTTGGCGTTTACCTGTATTTATGTGCCTTGTTTCACATCTATAAACCTCTCTACCCACAAATTTTCACACAAAAATTCGAACTTGACTGAAATCCGATGTCCAGTTGAGAAATTTTCACCCATATGGGATAGTATAATTCGAATCACATTTTTAAAGTCCATTAACTAACCCTTTATATGAACATGATTGTATTGCGGCATCCAAACAATTACATTGTAATTCTTTAACTATTAGGCGAGACCATTAACTAACCCTTCATATGTACATATTTAGGTTGTGGATTAGCATCACAACTGCTCTAACTTTTAGTATCAAGTCATGAGGTGCAACTCCCTTACTTCTACTTGCTCCTGTGGATATTTAGAAACGACAGTAGATATCGACGCCATTTCTTCTCAGGACAACATATTCACCATTTCTTTATTAACTATCGTACAGTGCTTATTTTGTGGACGCGAAATTGATCGATCCTCCAAGTGGTTTTGATTAATTACACCAGACTGAGGTTCAAATACCCAATCGGCTAAATCTCGCAAAATAATCTCTTGTGGAACTAATCTTAATTTTTCTGGGGAGAGTTCTCGCCCTTCTGTAACCCGCAAGAGAAAACTGAAATAACCAGATTGTCTGAAACGCATATTTATGGAGAGCTTAAAATACCTTACCGTTCCCTCAGTTCGCCCGCCAGGATTTTTTTAAGTTTTTCAGCATTTTAAAACCATACAAAATTGAAAATAAAGAAATGAAATTGTTCAAAGTTGGTGAAAATGAGAATGCAAGTGTCATATTCAGTTTTACATTATAAAATTGCTCAATGTAAAATTTTAAAAATCTTTCTGAAATCTGAAATATTTGTGCAAAGCTTCAGATCCAGAACCTTAATTTGAAAGAAAATTGTCTCTGTACTATTATATATAGATCATATATATATAGATGTGGTCGGCACAACAGCTAGTGTTGCCAGAGAAAAATTTCGTTTGGAGCTAAAACGGCCGAAAAAAGAGCTAAATAATACTAATAGTAGCTAAAATGAAGAGCTAGATTTTTATTTAAAGTTGAGCATTTATTGCCGTAAGGTTGTTTTTACATTTTCCGAAATTTTAATAAAAACAACGAATTTTGTAAGTTTAAGTGCTAAAAAAAACACTTTTAAAATCAAAATGAGGTGCCTATATTTCGAATTCGTTATAACACTTATATGCATGTACAAACTTATACATATATGATAGACAATGAACTAAAAGTACTTTACAAACTGTTTGAATTCATTAACCTAGATCCATGAGTTTGTGGTTCAGTCTGTATTTTTCCGTGGATACAAATGTATATTTTTCCACTGAATTTTGAAATTTGTAACTTTATCAATGCCTGAGAGAGAATACACCGTCTGAGCTTATCGGAGCTCGAATCACTGCCCAATATAGTTTGTGTGCTCCCGCGCACGTTGCATAAACTAATTGACTTACTTGCCCATCTTCCATTTGACTGCGCGCCATTTGCATTAGGAATGGAAGTTTTCTAAGTATTAATCGAAATAGAATAATATGAAGATATCGAAAATAGCCAGAGATCGCCAGAGCCAAATAAATTTTTAGGTAACACTTGTACAATGAACTTACAGATTTGTAATTTTAATATATTACCAAACACAACTAAAACTTTCTGGAGCTAAAAAAGTGCTAGATAATTTTGAGAAGAGCTAGGAGTTAAAGCCCAATTTTCGGAGCTAAATGGAAAAATAAAGAGCTAAATCTAGCTCCAAAAGAACCAATATGGCAACACTGACCCCGGCTGCCACATTTGGTCACTTGTGACCAAAATAGGTAACTTTTTGAGTCCTTGGTAACTTGGAAACTATTTTTTTATTTTGGTAACTTTTGGTAAGTTTGCCGTGTATAAAGTCAGACTAAAAAAGTTGCATTAATTTGATAAATTGAACTGTGGTTGTGTGTAGCGGTGACAACACTACTAGAAACAATTGCGTTGATCAGGCAACACAACAGCGCTTAGCGAAAATAACTAACCAGATATCGAAGAAAATTATCGCTGGGCAATCTACTCGTTAATTGTTAAGTGTGTCGAGAAGTTTAAAGTCCAATTGATGAAGCCTGGCAATCTTATCTTAATGTTATTTTATTCAAAATCATTTATAATTTTTATTATATGTACGGTGATGCCACATCTAATTTGTTCGAAATGCATGCAGTTGATATCACGAAATATGCCACACGTTCAATACTTATTGATAGATCTTTGATCTATATATAGAGGGTATGAAAAAAGGAGGTTTGAACAGCAGTTTGTGCGGTGTATTTGGGCGCTTTAGCGCATCGGTATATGCACTTAAGTCGAATTTTAAAAAATTGTTTTTGTTCTGCGGCTAAGATCCCGTTTAAAAATGTATTTATATACGTATGTGAATGTATCTAGTTATTATATAAGGTCTTGAGCGCTAGAGCAGCTTAACTGACATTTCAA